TGTAATATACTATTTCATAATTTTTTTCGCAAAAGTTTTAATATTATTTCTTTTGTTCTGTATTTCGAAGTAAAAGCAGTTATTAAAAAATAATTTACCACAAAAATAAAATATAAACTCGTAATTTTCAGTTTTTTTTCGGTGTTTTTTTGTTTTCTCGGTTCGCAAAATTTTGCAGCTGCAAAACCCCAAAAAACTCGGGATCCAGTGTCGACCTCGTCGACCGGAAGAGCTGGTCAACAGCTCTTCCTCCAGGTCTCCACTCCGGCTTTGTGCACGTCTTTAACCGAATCGGGTTCAGAGGCAGCACAAGTGGAGGGGTGGCATTCCAACGCAGCACCGTCAAGGTCTCTTTCTTCTTTCCCGCACTGAAAGCCGACAAGCCAACTGCCACGAGCGAGAAAGACAGCATCCAGTGGTCCAGTTCGCTGACATTCTCGCATACTTTCAAACGGTTTTCCTCTTCTTCCCAGCCACCACCTGGTGCAGGGTCTCAAAAACGGTGACCCGCGTGTGTTTTGGTGCTGCGTTTTGTGAAGGCAATTGTGAGAATTGTGCGTTTTTCACCTGTTATTGCACGTGGGATGGACGCAAAGCCTCCGTGGGAGAGTTATTTGCGCAAAAATCGCAGAGATTGCAGTAGGCGCACAAGAGACGAAACCAACAAAAGTGGAAGGTTTACCCGAATTCAGGTAGATTTTCTTTCAGTCGATGACCCTCGTGAGAACGCATCCGTTAAAATAATCAGCATTTTTGCTACTACACGCACGATTCTTATCAGAGACCTGTGAGTTGTGCTTATTTCCTTCATAAACATTCATAGACGTCTTGTAGTCGTAATTAAAAACACTCTGATTGAGTTATTAGTTAGTTATTAGTGTTGGGAATGTTAGAATAGTAAAAGTATTTGAAAAAAAAAGCTTGCCTCCTGTGAGGTTTGAACTCACGACCCCTGGTTTACGAGACCAGTGCTCTACCACTGAGCTAAAGAGGCGTTTAATTCTAACGATTCGGAGCGTAATACATAAAGGGCACGACTATTTATTGTTCAACAAAATGTTTTCCATATCAAAAATAATTGTTTTCTATGTAGAAATATACACAAATATCGCTTTTAATTTAATTTTCTCTAAAAATTATCAACAAATTAACAAATGTAGTACCAATTTTTGTTCTCAAAGTAAATTTCTCATTTTTTTTTGTCTAACTTTTTAGC